TAGGGAATACGCCTGTTTAGGATAGTCAAATTTGCCAAAAATTGTCTTAATTTAATGCATACTTGCTCAATATGAGGTTTCCAATTTAATTTATTATCTATAATGACTCCTAGATATTTATGTGATTCAACAAGTTCTATAATCGGACAACAACACGGTGTCACATGCCTGTGTAAGCAGTCATGATCATGGGCTATTATATTATTACTCACTGCATATGATTTTAGGTATGGGGACTTAATGTGTACTAATTTTGTTTTATTTGAGTTTAATTCAAGACCTGCGTCGTGGCACCATTTGCATAAAATTATAAAATCTGACTGAAGAATGTTATATGCCTTTGCAAGATTCTTATGAGCTACCAACAAACATGTGTCATCAGCAAATTTTAATTTACACAAAAATAATCAGCTGTTTCACTGTTGGCGATTATTGGTATGAAACAGCTGATTATTTTTGTGTAAATTCTGCTCCCATTAAAAGTTGTTCACTATATTTAAGTCATCGATCCCACGGAGTTCGGAGGAGGAGCAAATAATACTATACCTTATATACTTTATAAATATTTAAATAGTATTTATAGGCTTTAGATTTAAGAAGTAGAACAGTTTTTGTCTCCATCATCTTTGTTAATATTTGTAGGCATAGAAAGATATTAATTAAGTTACATAGATCAAACATAATTTATTTTAACTTACAGATGGCTGCCTTGAGATATCATACTTTTTTTTAACTTAAGGGACGAAGCGTTACGTCAAGTGCGTACTTATTTTATTTATTTGATTGAGAGAAAGAAATCGATTTGATTATTAAATGTTTATTGCTTTTATTTACTGTGGAATTTTGTATTAAAATGTATTGAGCTGAACAATATTTTTTTTATTTAATACAGTAAAATCACTAAATGCCAACACCTTTAATTACGATTTCGTCCAAATACCTTATAATATATATATATATCGATCGAAAGTAAGCCGAGAATCAGGGGTACGTCGTCATCTTTTATTAATTTCATTTTCATTTTACATGTAAAAATTAATTAATTTACTTGACATTGGCAGAATTGTGTGAAATGCGCAGATAAGCCATCAATAAAAAAAGAAGAAGAAGAAGAAGAGTATCGATCATTGATGGTATATTAATTTAAGCAAATTATTCTAATTTCTTGTAAGTAAAGAGGGGTATAATACATCCATAATTACTTATATATTTTTTTTATCGGTAACATCCACAGAACATAGAGAGAGAATAGAAGTAGTAAGTGGGCGGGGCACGCGTCGCTGGCATATGCGCTTTTACTCATATGACGCCCTTTCCTCGGTTTTATGTTTGCCAGTCGTTCGTCAATCGTCGAGTGGTGATTTTACAGATTTTTTTTATAAAAAATGCCGTTTTGTGCTATTATCACTTGCAAAAAGCAAAGCAAAGTATACAATCTAACTAATGCAAACATTTCCTTTCACTGGTAAGTACAATTTTAGTGCTAAAATATAAAAAACGTAATAATTTGACACAATGTTAAATAAAATATACATTGATTGCTCAAACCAACATCAATGTTTCTGACCCCATTACTAAACAGCAATGTAAATCATTTTGTGCACTTTTGCAAAAAATAGTGCTGTGCCTCCATTTGTCTGAAATGTACCGATAGGCTGCTGCTGCTCGGAATCGTATTGTGAATTATATGGATCGTAATCGATAACTAAAACATATTTATTTAGAGCTTTTCTTTCATCATTTCATAACAACGTTATCGATAAATATATGCCATAATTATATAAAACTAAAAAATACTGTTTACAAGGGAAAATTATAGATGAACTGATACTGAACAAATGAAATAATGAACTGTCCAGGCACTTTTAATACGAAGATTCGGTTAATTATTTACACGCAGATAAATATTAAAAATTACTGATGTGCTATAAATATCTAAGTTACGAAGTATATCACCGTTTTATGAACAATACATAAATTAAACGAAACTTCGTGAAAAGCTAAGAGTTGGCCTAATAGGTCTTGTTAGAAACTGGTGAAACTGGATTTCACTTATTTTGCATTACTTATATTTCAGTTTCCCTAATAACTTTACAACGGATTGCCTTGTTGACATAATTAATTTTGCCCTATCTGTTTTAGACCTAAACCTATCAAATGAATTTCAAAACAACATAATATCTATACAAACAAAAAATTATGTTTTCAACTAACGTAATATTGTTGGTGGTGTGAATTTAATTTACAAAATTAATTTTTAGGCGTCAATTTAATTTACCTTATTCTGCTGATTCATAATCGGAAACTATTATTATAGAAATCGAGTTGAGAAAGTCACTTTAAAGAACCACCCACAGAACAGCTTTTATCAGTTTTTTTGTTGCTCCATATTTGCACATAAGTTTATAGACGCATGTCTCAAACGGATGTGACTTTATATGTAGATTGACGTTTGTACGTACTTATCGCTTTTGTGTCTATCGTCAAACTTTTTTTGTCACGGCTTTCAAACTCATACTTGACCAGCGATTCCTTATTGTCCAGTCGTTGCAATTAATAATGTAGCTACTACTATTATTACAGATATAAAACTTAGAATAATAAAGTAAAACAAACATGGCTATGATCAATTTATTAGTGTAATGATCATATTAGTTATTATGAAATGAAATGAAAATATCTTTATTCAAGAAGGCTATTACAAGCACTTGGAATGGCAAGTTTATTTTTATTTCTATTTTTTTTTGTGAAGGAATCGTAATGTTTTCTTGCGTACATAATATTTTCATTGATGTATTGAGAGGCAACAGTCAAAATATTTATTTCTTTAAATATTTCTCTGAGAGATTCTCTAGACCGTAAATTATATATAGCGTGGACAGCTCTCTTTTGTAGAATAAAAATATCTTGAATGCTAGCCGCAGAACGCCATAACAATAGATTATACGTCATTCATTACACTATGAAAATAACTAAAATATACCAATCTTGCCGTTTCAACATTTGTTAAGAGTCTAATTTTCTTAACAGCAAATGCTGCAGAACTCAGTCTACTTGACAAATTATCAATATACCAAGGAACTTTGTCGATTCTACCATCTCAACTTTTTCACTATTTACATTTATAAGTATATTAACATGCCTCACATTAGGTAATGCAAACTTTATGTATTTCGTTTTATTTGAATAAAGCTTTAAATAATTACTATCAAACCACTGTAGAAAATTGTTGAACTGAATTACATTGAACTGTTTCATAACAAAATTTAAAGCTCTTATTTTATCAACTAATATGTCACATCACTAATATGCACAATCGGAATGATACCAGTAAGAAAAAAATACAAATTAGGCTTAATGTAATTAATACAAAAATTCTGTTGTTTTCTTAATTTTTGTTTTTTTTACACTTTCCCTCGCTTAATTATATTACTCCACAGACATACGATAGAGTGTATCATTAAGTTTTCTTAGTTTTTGTACAGCGTTTTTTAAAAGATATTTTAATAAATTATGTAGGGAAAAGCCTTAATTTTTCAGTATTCACTTGGTTACAGCAAAATCTAATATTAATAGTTCGCACATAAAATGATGACCCCAATTTTTTTAAATGTGCATAATCTTAAAATATTTTTTTCCTTCTGGTATCCCCATATACAGCCACGTGACAGTTCAACATTCATGTTAAAGTAAATTATTTATTATCACGTTGAATTAGAGTTTGTTTTTAATCGTGTGATTTCTTAGCTTAGTATCTTTTTGGGATTTGATTTATGTTATCGCGAACCTATCGCGTGGAGGTATTTCATGTAGTGAACAAAATGATCATTTCATCTAATCTGCATTTGTGTGCGGAGAGGCGACACTCGGTTCCCATACTAAATTAATATCATTATACTTCTAATCTCTCTCTATGTTCTGTGGTAACATCTGTTACAATATCAGATTCTACCGTCGATAAAGATCCAACATAAATGATAATTTAAAAAGTAATATCAGTCAAAATTCATTATTTTTCAATATCCAACCGGAAGAAGCGCTACACCTGCGTTAGATATGAGAATAAATCCTTCTTTTTGTGCGTGTTAAAAAAGAAGGTACTATGCCATATTATGTCAACGTTATCCAGTTTTTGTCTTTTCGTCGTTACGTGTAATATTTTCTCCAAATTGCTTTTTATTATATTTCTTATACGGAAATATGCGTGTTTTAAATGAAAATCAAATGCACAAAATGCTTGTTCTCTAACTCTTTTTTTTTTCTCTGGAGAAAGTACAGGTAAGTCAATCATAAATATTAATTAAAAAATTGGAAACTATTCACTCACTTCGCAAAAACTACGTTAAAGATTCATCTTCGTCATTTTATAATTATAATGATTAGATATTTTTAGTTCAATAAAATGACTTTTAATTCCTGGAACTGTGTGTGATATAATTGAACATCATTAATCTTGTAAACAAAATTTTGCATCTAACAATTCAGTGCTTTAGTACAATTTAATTTTAAAGTAAACGTCGTGTTCCGTATTATTTTCAAAAGCAAATTTGTGTTAGATAAAGATCAAGTACGATATACTACCGTGTTTTGTAAGGCACGTTTAGTCATTGGTCATTGAAGGCAATCTGCATTGCACCCGCGTGGTGAATTATGGCCCGCTCAGTACATTCGACTATATTTCCTTATTTCGTAGATTTCATGCGCTAGCTATTTTACCACTCATTTCCTTTAGTACGCTTTAAAATCATCCCAAACCGTTACCATCTAACAGGCCCGGATCTACGATTTTGTAACCGGTGCAGAAACTTAATCTTGTGCCTTTCAACTCCATGACCGGCCGGCCAGATTATATATATTCACTTTTTGCGGCGTAAGGTTTTTTTTCTTTTATGAACTTTGAAAACATATCAGAACAAGCCTGATATCCATGTTAACCTTGCGTTACCCAAATCTCTGTTCAACTATATAACGTTGATACTTTTTTCAGATAAACAGTCAAGATGTGTCGAACCGTGCACGCGCTATTACAAACCGGAATATGCGGGATTCAAATGCTAGTGAGGGTCTTTATGACCATAATCCTCATGCTAGAGAATCTAATCAGAATGATCCTGCAGACACTGTACAACTTCATATCATTCATGCTACAGATGATATCACTGATACCTATATGCTTGGTGTTCTTGCTGACATCGCGTTTGAAATGCTTTATGTGCGGTGGTGGGGGCGCCTGTCCAGTTGCAAGGGGTGGCACATGTGACTGTCTCATGTCTTTCGTCGCTATTCTTATATTGTTCTTAATCTTCCGTGCGACAGGAGTCCTCGATAAGTTATTTTATCATATCGGTTACACGAAATATAGGCCGCAAGCTGTAAAGTTCGTGCCTACACCTGGAGATATCACTGAATGCTCGCGAAATGAGTCAGAAACGACGGCGACATACGAAATAACCACAACGGAGACGACGACCACCGATACAACTGAAATGAAACTGTACTACGAGGAAGAGACCACAACAGATGCTTACTATTGGTTTTATTACACGTTACTTGGTCGCGACACAACGTTATCAACAACGAATGGTACAACTGAAAGAACGACCAAGCAGCGTTTGCGAGCAGGTGCTCATCGTCGCTTTCGTAGGCCAACAAAAACTAGGAGTACAAAGAAGTGGACTACTGTGTTATACTACTTGGTATGAGTGTCTAAAATTGCCTAATAATGATCTTGAGCGTATTTTCCGTGATACAAAAAATCGGTACTTGCAATTTGTTTTTCTATTATGAATGAAATTTTTTAAATAAATTTTTATTTTTATAGTGTTGTTTATGTTTTGCCTGTATTTGATGTTTAATGATTAAAAGATCTATTGCTAGAATTTAATATTCTACATCAGAAATATATCTAGTTAGAAGGAAAAAGTGTTACGTACTTCGCGTGCCGAAACGACGTCTACACAGCTTCATTGCTCGCCGCGAGGCTCAGTCCACTTTCGATCGCAATCGGTGTTGGACGAAATTTAAAATGATGCGTTGTTCGATAATTACCTGCTCAAACACCACCAATATGGTTAGATCTTATAGTCGAGGTATTTCCTTCCATCGGTAAGTAACTATTTGCCTTGATATATCCTATTTTGAATAAAAAATCATTAGTTTTGTTGCTCCGTATTATTTTTATCAAAACGGTCATGTGTCCAGTAATAGATTTCCATTGCGGCTTTAATTTGACAGTCCAAATTTGCTGTGCTTGTAAAACCATCGATGTATAATTCAAGGTCAATTTGTTGGAGGACAAATTATCATTTTTTCTGTCAAAAATGGAGAATAGTGCCGTACAATGCGATTTTTTTACCCGATTAAAAAAATATCGTTTTTGAAAGCAAAAGAAAGGATAATTAATTTTATATTGTATTATACTGTAATTTTTGTTTTAGTTTTCCGTATGATCCTTATATTAAAAATAAATGGATTGAAGCAACAGGACTCTAAGATAAATAGTAGGTATACTTACTGGACATGGAAACTTTAACAAACACCTACATATATAACATGGGTTATTCTGACAGTCCTCTGAGCAGGGCGTGCATGGAGACTGAGGAGATTGTCTCCTCAGTCTCCATTCCAGTATCACATAAGCACTTGTGCACTCATGTGATACTGATCACATATCTAAAAGGACTACATATCTATGAAGCCCAAGGATACTAGTGGAAGCATGCGGCAGAGTTCGAGATCTTACGGGCTTCCTGGAGGAGCTGGGGTGGCAGGACTAAAGCAACCCCGTGTCATGCAAAATAGGCACTGAGTATCGAGTTGCAGAAAAGCCCGCCGTGAAACATAACATAACAACAAAGGACGTAAAAATGTGTAGCGTGTCGGGAGGGGGTAGCGGCTACTACAAAGTGTTTGCCCACAGAAAAATGCCGATTTCTATTCTATCGCATAAAATCTTTTTTGCGCCGATTCACTAAATTACATTCGTGAGTTCGTGACATATAGGTACATAATATTTAAGCAAAATGGTAGTTTGTCTATAAAGTCATGAAAAAAATTGAGGGCGCTGCGATCGTGCACGTAGCAACCCTGTGTAGTGAGACAAATGATTTTGATAGTAGGATTTTTTTTTTACTTTTATTACCCCAGAAAAGGTAAAGAAAGACGTATAATTCGTAGACAATGAGTTTATTCTACATTGAAGATTACAATATAGTAATCGTAATTTTTGATAAATCTTTTTTTTTATAATTGCCAAGTTGTTTTCTCGTTTTACTGCAATGTGTGCTTGTGTTCGATTAAAGCCCAATATATTTCAGAATTTAACGCAGAACTTCTAGGCTACAATTAAAATCCAGATCGGTTTTGGCAATCCACTGATGTTTTCTTCATGTAGGTACCTCTTTTTCTCACAGAGTAAAAGAACTGAATCTTTTGTCGAAGTGCACAAATGTTGCAGTTAACCATTTATTTCTTAGGACGACTATCTATGTTTCCCAGGGGTTTCAAATATGCCACCATTTTTATGACCTTCATCTACAATACGTATCACTATATTCTCTGATTTTCCTGAAAGTAAGTTTTAAAAATGTAATACCTATAGGTATTTGGCAAAAAGAATGGAATCGCCACAATGATCAAATTAATGCTATAATTTTAGTAATATAAAGCACAAACTTTTTATTGGCGTACGTAGGTAAAAATCGTACATTCCTAACAGGTATATTTTTTATTCAGATTAAAATCAATGATAAATTTGATTATCCAAAAGTATTGAAAGTTCGGGTCGCACTACAATATAGCCTTCTAACATTTTCAATCTAACCTATAAATGCATAATGTAATCAATACTTCTTTTAGACTTAAATTCATATATTTAGTAAATTTGAAACTTCTGGTAACCAAAACTAAATCAGTAACACGATTACATACCAGCCATAACTGCCGTTCGAGCTTTAACATCCTACAAATATGATAAAATGTGGTTAGCTTCTTGTTCCAATAAACATCACTGAAAAACTTTATAAATAATATCCTGAGCTTCACTCTGATTAATTCTCTTCATTTTTAACACTTTTCGACGGAGTTTAGAAGAAGTAGCTTCAGTTTAATCAAAACAAATCAAAAATGCAGAAAATCGAGCTAAAAAATCAAGTTGTTGACAGTAGATGTACTTTGATTCAGTGTTGTCATACTTGTGTCTAATGTTAGTTCCTCAAACATTCTTTTCATGATTTTATAGACAGACTGTACACATTGGTCTCCGTCGATCGATATCGTTTTTCAATCGAAGAGAATCGGTATGCCGTTTCAAATACCAGTATCATGACGTCACGATCTTAATTTAGTGATGGAAGACATAATTTCACTTGCATCGAAATGCAAGTGAAATTATGTAATGCAAGTGAAATTATGTCTTCCATCACTAAATTAAGATCGTGACGTCATGATACCTACACAAAATGTGGCACGCTCGGTCTCCATATAAATCGACGAACATTTTCCTTCTAACTAGATTTATTTCTGTGGTGCAAATGCATCCAATCTCGTCAGTTGCCAAACCGACATTTTTTATAAAATTATTACAAAATAAATGACATTCTGGCAATAAAGTAAATCCCGTTCGCATACTAACGGGAAGCGACTTTGTAGTAAGCATTGTTGTATACATAGATTTATTACATTAAATAAAATAATAATAAATAAACAATACCGCATACGTTGCTCAGATTCCAAGACGAGGAGGTAGCTAAAGCCCACGTTTTTTTCTTTCAAACTGCAAGTCTTATTGGAATGACGTGAAGATTATATTTAAGAAGTCTATGTGTTTATTTATATAATAATTTACTTAATAGTTACGAATTTGTTAATACTAATTATAAAAGTGATTTATATTATAATAATTATTATAATAATATTTTTTATTGGAACTTTACACTTTACGGGTCGAATATCGTGTACGAAAGCAGCCGCTTTAGTTTAAAAACTGCGTTGCAGCCACAAACGCCCACCTTCATTGTATAAAGAACAACGTTCCACTCGACATATTTTTGTAATTCAAGTTTAGAATTAAATTAAATAGCATGCATTCTTATCATTACTACTGTATGAGTAGAATGTTAGTGTATATGAGAGTATGAGTATGTGTATATAAGTGTAAGTTTGTGTGTATTTGTATTATATGTTATGTTTTTGTGTTTTTCTTTTATATAAATTAAATGAATCTGTATGTGAGCAGACATATAATGAATACAGAGTGTAAGTCCTCAGTATCACTGTAGGACAATGTTTTTAGCCACTGTACCTACCTCGATCGAGTTTTGCATTCTTGCGAAGTGAGAGGATGTAATTTTATTAGGTTATTAATTTTGTTGTATAATTTTGGAGCCAAGAAGTTAAAATATTTAGCAGATACAGATAACTTTCACATCTCGATTTTATACAGCAAGACTATAGTCTACGTTTGCTTTTACAGGAGTAAGGGCGCTTGTGCACTACACTGAATTTTCATGTCCGGCTGTCCGATTTTTTTAGGTCCGATATGTCAGGCCATGTATAGGTAATGCTAGCCTGTGCACTGTCAGGAATTTTACCGTCCGGGATTTTACTTTTCTCTATTCCGGACCGGTTTTTTCAGGTCCGTGATGGCGGCAATAAATAACGTGTTTACGCTTGTGCACTGCTGTGTCCGCGATCCGGAAAATTCATAAGGAATAGGCTTTGGAAAAAATAATCGATTTGTGTACAATCGATATTTATTTCGGCGATATTGTTAATTGATTATAAAATGCTATATTTTATATGATGATTTAATATAGTTGGTAAATATCACTGCATATGTATATATGGCATACTCGGTATAGTTTGAATTTATTTATAATTTGATCATCTAGCTAAGTATATTTATAATTTACTTAGCTAGATTTTAGAATCGTATTAAAAGTATCGATAACTTAAGGTAAGATAAATAATTGTTGTTACGCTTAGACGCCTAAACAACTGAACCCATCTTAATGGAAATTGATATAGTAAATAGACTAAACTTTAAGAAATACCAAAGAAAGTTTGCCTGGAAATTTGTCATTATCAAATTTTTTTTAGACAATTGATGAGTATAGATAAATGTTTGATAACAGAAGTAATAATAAAGAATAAACAGAAGATTAACAGAAATTATTAAGTGACACTCAATGTCTTTTTCGCATTCAATAAAATGTGAAATGACTGATTGTGTCATTAATAAATTAAAAAATAGAAGTATTCTAAGGGAATAATATTTCTGCTCAAAGAAACTATACCGCCCGTATAAAATTATGCCTATATATAATACAGTCAACTGATCTCGTAAAGTTCATTTAGCATAGTAATTCTCCGCTTACACGGCACTAATTTCGATTTGTTTACGAAATACCGATTGGTCTATCTCTGTAATCGTTTTGTTTTTACAAAACTTAGAAAAAAAAATAGCACGTTTATAAATTTAAACATTGAGTACCATTATCAGTAATTTTATTCTAATGTCACAGATATTTTTAGTATGTGAATAATGCTGTTCCTGAATTAGTAAAGGTATAAGTTTTTACATCTGATAGTAGTCATCCGATAGTAAAAAAAAATGCTTTCGTCTTGCCATAATTTATTATGGTTTATGTAAAATGATCAGGTAATTATTTAGGTATCTTTCTACGTCTTCGAACGCAATTAC